TAAATTACCGTTATATGGGATGTGGGCGTGGTTATTGTCCGATTTTAAAAATTTTCGGCCATTTGGTATGCTGTATCAAGGTCAACTATTGTGCCAAGTTTGAAAGAAATTAGTTCAGCGGTTAGCAAGATATGGACATGTAACCATAAGTGGGCGTGGCTACGCCCATTTTCCAAAAAATTATCATAATCTTATTTTTCGTCTAAAATTTATTTTAAATATCAATTTTGAGTGAATAATCTTCAGTAAATAGTTACTAAAATATGACGGATTTCGCCCATTTTCAATATCAACCTACCTTGGATAAATGGAAACCTACGTACCAAATTTCGTTGAGATATGTCAATTTTTGCTCGAGTTATCGTGTACACGGTGGCGGCCGCTGTGGTGTAATGGTAAGCAGTGCGCGCTTCCACTTCGCAGCGCCTGGGTTCAAGCCCTGGTCAAAGCAACATCGCAAAAAAATTTAGAAAAAAGGTTTTTTATTAACAGCGGTCGCCCCTCGGCAGGCAATGGCAAACCTCCGAATGTTTTTCTGCCATGAAAAACAGCTTCTCATAAAAATACAATCGCCGTTCGGAGTTGGCGTAAAACTGTAGGTCCCTCCACTTTGTATGACATCAAGGCGCACGCCACAAACCGGAGGAGAAGCTCGGCCAAACACTAACATATGTGTAAGCGCCAATCTATTGTATATAATATATCGTGTATACGGACGGACGGACAGACGGACGGACAGACAGACATGGCTTAATCGACTTCTCTATTCATTCTAAGCATTTATGTATACATTTGTCTATATCTATCCCGATTCGTTTTGGCTGTTACAAACAACCGTTATGTGAACAAAGTTAATATACCCTTGTGCACAAGTTTCATTTCATTTCATTTCATTTATTAAACAAGAACCATTAGTACAAAAATTCGCATTAATTGAAATTAATAACACATGAACTTTAAGCTGCCTCTTGTTATGAGTGGAATAGAATTCCACGTTCTAATAGCACTGATAAAAAATAGTCTAGTCGATGTTATAAAGTTATAGTTGGGTACAATAAGGTGATTTGAGCGCTCAGACTTTGGGAATATTAACTTCTCATAGAGGTAGAAGGGTGTCTTTGTAGGGATTAGCCGGAACAGAAAAATACAGCTTCTTGCCTTTAAGTAGTCTTGAATTGCACATCTTAACAGACTTGCCCTCCATTTCGATATGAGATCAAACTTTTTTAATCCGTACACATACCGAGTTACATGATTGAATACTACACTGATCTTATGAGCCGATGCAGAGTCTAGCTTATTATAAACTAGCTCGGAGTAGGTAATAATAGGAACTATAAGTTGAATCGCTAACTGCCGTCTTGTGCCTACTGGAGTAAATTCCGCAGTTTGACGTAAGTTTCTTAGCGCACCATAAGCTTTGGAAACAACAGAATTTATATAATCCTTGCAACTTAAGCTCGAATTAATGACAAATCCCAGTCTTGTTATTTTATTTAAATATTCTAAAGGTTTATTTCCAAGTACTATATGGGGTATTGTTGTAATGTCAAGTTTCTTGGCGATTGGTAAAACAAAAGACTTTCCCGAGTTAAGGCAAAGACCATTTCTCTTAGACCACTGCTCAATGGCAGATAGATCATGGCTAAGTTGACGAATTATTAAATCTTGATTTTCAAAATTATTTGAAAGATATAGCTGGATGTCATCCGCATAAGCATGCATTCTTGCAAACTGGCAAACACGAAAAATGTCATTGATAAATAAGCTAAATAAGAGAGGCCCTAGAATTGACCCTTGGGGAACTGCTGTCGTAAGCTTTTCAGGTTTCAAGGTATTCGTACCAACCCTAACGCGTTGATGTCTGTCTGTAAGATAGTTCTTCAGAAACTTTAATGAGTTTTCATCAAACCCATAATAGCATTTAAGCTTATGACATAATATTGAATAGTTTACCGAGTCAAACGCTTTTGAAAAATCCAGTGCGCTCGGGTATAAAAATTAAAATTAGGACGATTCTGTTGCATAAATCAATTCATAAGACTTACCTCCAATTAATGCAAATATCTTTTTCCTCGTGATTATATACACCAACAAAAAAAAACTACTGTTATACCAGATTTTGTATTAATTGCTTTGAATCTGTACGATCGCGAAGCAGTTATATCAAGCCCTAACCGCCAAAATAACGTAAGCGCCATTTTTTTTTCAAAATTTTCCTTTTGATGCAGAAATACATCTAGATGCCCTAGGAATATTTCTGCATCAAAAATACAATTTTGAAAAAAATGTCGCTTACGTTATTTTGGCGGTTAGGGCTTGATAATTCCCTATCAGAATTTTGAGTTAGCTCACTTAAGATCTACATAGGTGTGCGATATGTTGTAATATTAGATCGCCTATAGGCGCTGACAGGAAAATACTTAGTATAGGCAAAGCCTAGCTTCTATGACAGTGGTTTGATAAAAAAGCTTTCATAATTACTCTTGCACATTCCAAATTCTTTTCGTTTGCAAAATTACATGAAGGATTTGGAATTTTGTCGCATTTGCGTTTGGAAATATGTTATTCCTTATATAAAAAATTGGGTTTATGTTAAGCTTGGGTAGTTCTTGAACTAAATAAAGTAAATAACTACTTTATCTCAATGTACTAGTTCACTAGTGCGGTCTTTTCATTGAACTAAAGTTGTCAGTGCTCATATTCCCATTTTGGATCGCGATCCAAATATTCTCGGCACGAACGTATGACGTAGATCCCCATCTTTACAGATACGTTTTAAAACGCTTTTGTATTGTTGCTACTTCAGTTCCTTGCGAACGATTTTTTCGGGGGGGCAGGGCAAATATTAAACTGGCGTAGAACGCTTTTAAAATCAGCAATATGTATACATATCGTACAAATCGTGTTAAAGTTTTTGTTTCATGTCGGTACTTTAAATTTATGCATTTAAAAAGAGATACACAGTTTCCTCCCCTAATGTGTGCAAATTTACACACCGTGTTGATAAAGTTAAACACTGTCTGTTCAGTATTAGTATTAGTAGTTTCTGGTTGAAAAATAAACACTATTCAGTAGCAGTTTTACATGAACTTTTTAGAGTGCAGTTGAAAGCATTGATTTGGGATAGATGAAGAACTAGTACTATGCCTCTTCGAGCTGGTTCGGCAGGAGTTCTGAACGAGTTTGATTTGCTGCAGGGTAGCTTTGTATACCTTTAATGGTGGTGCAATTTTTTCTTTTTATATTTTCTAATATCTCATATCTACAGTAGTTCCTAAAGATTTCTTTTAATTAATCAAACAAGTACTGTGTATAAAAAATTAAAACGATTTCAATTTTCATGAATAATTTTAAATGAATTCCGATAAACTTTGGTAAAGATGAGTTTCAAAGCATTTTCGAAATTATTTTTCTAATGTTACAAATAACTTTTTTGATTTCTTTGAATAAATCGACCATAGATATGCGAGGACAGAACAAATGACCTGTTGTGACATGCGAACAGACTAGAATGCTTTGCATTATTGAATGTTTGGGATGCCTTTTTATACTAAGTCCACGGTGATTTTTTGCTTAGGTGAATGGAAGGACGGACAGTTAAAATAAATAAGCATCGGACTTGCTATGTAAGGCAATGTTGTTGCGTGTTCATCTCCCTGTCCGTCTGTCGGTCGCATTGACATTCGATTTTGACCAACTTTTTGAACAAACCACAAGGGGTAAAGGTGTGATTTTTTCCTAAATGTGTATGAGTGTATATACATTTGTATGGCTTGCGTGTATGAATTTGTTGGTCAGAAAATGGCTGATGCAATGCGACTGGTAACTTTCATCAGTTGCTGCGGAATAATAACAACATTACCACAATAACTGGGGCCTTCTCTGCAAATAGGTATATACATATGTATGTATATGTATATAACTATGTATGTATGTATAAAACTATATATAAATATACATATGGACATTAGACCGCGTCATAAAAATAAAAATCCTGCAAAGCGACCGGAATAAGACTCAAATTTTAGGATTTGGTATAGTAATGATCCTCCATGAAGCTCCCCTCTCTACGACAATTGTGAGAGGTCCCGCGTCTAGCTTTTAGTTTTCCCATAGGAATTACACGTAAGAAAATGAATTCTTTCCTGTTGAGGTCAAAATAATTTTCTAGGAGCAATGAAAACGCTGGAAACTGTAAGAATACATTGAGTACATGCTATTTAAGTATTATGCAGGCTCAGGTTATTTACATTTCTAAATTATCCTATTTTAATCCCTTGTCCTATTTGTATCAAATCTAGTATATACCAAAAGCTAGACGCGGGACCTCTTTCAATTATCCTAGAGAGGGGAGATTCATGGAGGACCACTACTATACCAAATGTAAAAATTTGAGTTTTATTCCCGTCGCATTGCAGGATTTTTATTTTTTTTTTACGCGGTCTAATGTACATACATAGATATTTGCATAGTACATAGGTATTTGCGTTTCATAATTGCGTATTCGGCTCATAAAGTGTGTACTAATTCCTTAGAAAAATTTCATGTTATTCCGATGGTTGGATCTTGGAAGATCGGGAAAATATGCTTATCAAATATTTTCGGCACCTTAAAATTAATTTCCAAATCTTTCTCGAAAAGTAATGAAAGTAATATTTCTTTTGATATTGCTGACATTGGGGCCCTGCACCGACACGAGCTGCTACGGGCCGTTGTTGAAACTTTGCATCATATTTTTCACTTTGTGAGAAATTCCACCAGCGGCCAATGGCTGGTTGCTGACTGGCTGGTAGCAAAGCAACGGCTGCGACGCAAACGTGCCGAAGTTGAGCAGCAAAATTTTTATTTGTCTACATACTAAATATCACTGGCATACTTATTACCCTTTCCTCGCACGCCCCCTTTCGCAACTGTGGCTAAGTAAAGTGCTAAACCTGTTGAGAAACTGATTTGCATTTGTTGTTTCAACGAAAAATATGAGACGCGTCAAATGCTCAGATCGCATACATACCTACCTTCTGACTGCCCGAAGTCACTCCACTTGGCGCACAACGACTTTAGAACCACGCTGCACCTGTCTGAGGAACCGACTGTCGGCGGCTGACTGCAATAGGAGGAGAATATTTAAGAGCGCTGCAATGCACGGGAGCGCGTTAGTAAGGTTTTACAAATCAACTTAGAGGGTCGATTGCAGTGAGTTTGAAAATTGCATTTCCATAATTGCACTATCACTAAAATCAGAAGGCTAATTTTGCCCAAGAAAAGAAAGTGGGTTTTACAAAAACTTGTGTACCACATAAATCTGGCTGATATTCCTCTGTACCAAGTATCCATAAGAAAGTACCGTTTATCCTACAATTACTTCAAATAGATGACCATTTGTCAAATAGATTGGTGTCAATGCTGAGACCCTCGCCAACTGATACCAAGCTGAAGCTTCTAAAGTCCTTGCAGTAAGTAAACACATTTCTATACATTTCTGAAAATTCATAAAACAAAATTATCTGAAAACTATCGTTATTGTTCTCGTTCTTACAGCTTATCCAAAAATCTCGCTGTTAGCAAAGGTTCGCGCACCGGCAATACCGCCAACAATTTAGAACTTAAGGTTCTAACCCAAATCCAACACGTGCCGTGAACATTAGCGTGGTCTGTGGAAAACTTGAGATTTCGAGCAACACTTTAGTAGACTTCAAAACAAATTGGCTATTTGATTTCCTCCTCAAAAGAAGAATATACGTCCGACTTTGCACCCTTCGTTTAATTCATCAACATGGTTTACACCGAGCGTACCGAACGTTACATTGAACCAACCGATCAGTGCAGCACCAGCGCTGGTAGCAGTAAATCGCATACCGCCTCCTCCAAATACTCGAAGGAGCAGCACTCCTCGAGCAATTCAAGCGCCTACAAGAATTCGAGTTGGGAAACTAAGCAGCCGCCTTCGGAGGATAAGTGGAAGTATAATAATATGGTACGCAATGATCGCGAAAAATTTAACAGCTTACATTTTTGCTAAATTACATTGGTATCCGCATCCTGAAACACACCCGAATTTGTGCCCCCACCAAATACATATGTACATACGTAAAGACAGATTTATATACTGCTAGCTACAATAAAACTTGTCCGCTCATTCATTTCCAATCCCCGCTATAATACTGCAATTGCATTCTATTCGAAGTTGTGAATAGTTGAGTAAGAACCTTACTAATGTGATCTATAATTTAGTGATTAGTTGATACATTTAAGCATTTGTATGTTAATTCGTATGGACGTGAAAATCCCCAGAGGGGTGTTGGCAAAATAAAATGAATATATACATTCATACATATGTACATATATACTTATATAGTAACAATTAAAAATCTACATTAGGGATGTGCCGGGTAAAGGGTAGATAAACGGAAATACGTCCTATCCTATAATCTAGAAATTTTAGTTGAAAACCTTTTCCAGAAAAAAATTTTATTGTATTTTTAACCGACTTCAAAAAAGAGGAGGTTATCAATTCGTCGGAATTGTTTCATTTATTTTTTTTTATGTATGTTACCGCATAACTTTGGTTAACCGATTTCTATCATTACTTTTTTAAAGGTTTTCATCCGATTTCAAAAATCAAACACGTTTGGAAAATAGGATTTATATACCTTTAAAGTGACGTATGTATAACAATCTATTGTTCGACTTAGACTGTTGGGAGTTTTCATGGGGTAAAATAAAAACTCCCATTTTTTTCATTTTTTTTCATCTTTGAACATCGCTAATTTCAAAATTTTTTTTGAAAATTACCAAACATGTAATACTTATTAATTTTCGAACAAATTGATATCTCATTTAATGAAATCGGATAAAAATTGTCGAAGTTAGGCAAGTTTCCTAACTTAGTTAGTTAGGTTATTTGACCCTTGTTCTTGGCCCGTCAATAAATCCCCTCTTCAAAACAACAAGTTCGAAAATAAAGGTTTTTTTTTAATAAAAAATTGAGGGCTCAGGAACTATAGGAAACCTTTTCTCATATTGTACTCGACCCTATCTACAAAATACACTAAGTTTGTTTTGAGTGTATTTCGCGATTTCTTTTTTGTCGCGCTATGTAATTGAATTTAAAAATGTTCATGTTTTTCATAATGAAAACAATCTTTTCCGCATTAAGGGGCAATTAACTATTTCTATTTTCAACTCTTTCTGATTTCGCTGAAGAAGGTGGTGTGTAGATTGCCAGTTTAAACACATTAGAGATTTTTTTGCAACTTTGCTTCCACCAATCCATTTCTAGTTCATAAAGCGCTGATTTTTTCATGTACGGTCACTGCCTAATCCGGCTACGCGGTGGTCCGGACACAGTTGTAATTCGCAAACGGCTACAAACCGAACAATTTGACATTTTTTACTCTGTTTTGTATATTTTTGCTAAATAACGGCATTCCTCAGCAATTTTTCGTCCGCAGTTAAATATGTATTTATATGGCCAATTCTACAGGAAAGTAAACCAGTCCGATTTTTTCTTTCTTTCAAATATTGAACATATTAGTGATTATTGGTATTCACTATATCTGTTAGCTGCTTCTGACACTGATTCTTATCATGTCCAACCATTTTGTGTTTAATATTTTGCTCCTTTTGTCGAAGGATTTTTCACAAACCTAAGAGTTTTCGATACTTCAACAAGGAAAAGTACAAAAATATAAGCTTTCCTTGATTTGTTTTGGTCGATTAAGCTCTGAACGATAGAAAATAAATTAGTTTAACAGGATACGTCCCAAGTTAGCGAGAAAGTTGTTTAGAACTCCTATTAAGTCGTAATGAAATGTACCGCAAATGTTAAGTGTAACGTAGCCAGTGAAAAACTAAAAAAGTTGTTTTTTGGATACTAAAGTACCCTTTCCAAAAGGATATATGTATAACGTGTTTTCTTAGTATTGTCGATATCATACTGATTCCATATGGAAAAAAGAAATCATAGCTGACTTCGTTGCACAATTACCTAATAAATAAGTGTAACGTGGTCAGAGCTTTTCTTTTTATTTAAACATTTTTTTATTGACTTGATAACTATTCTCATTTTAGCAATAAATAATAACACATATTTAAGAAAGTCTTTTCATGAGCAATTGCGAACTGAGCATTATAGTGCTAAATTTTAATAACTATTCTATTGAAATAAAGCGGAACTAACATTTGTAAAATATCCTTTGAAATCTTTATCTCTTAAGATTTTGCCTATACATTTGCCTATAATTCAATTAGATTTTTTGCCCATTATACGCGATTGTGCTCATAACACTACAATTTTATAGAGTCCGATACAAGCCTACACCAGACTATGAAGAGTTTATAATAATAATAATAACAGATTGGCGCTTACACATATTTTAGTGCTTGGCCGAGATTCTTCTCCAAGTTGTGGCGTGCGCCTTGATGTTGTCACGCAAAGGGGAGGGACCTACAGCTTTACGCCGACTCCGAACGGCGATTGTATTTTTATGAGAATCGCCGAGGTGCGACCGCTGTTAAGAAAATACCTTTCTTCTATATTTTTGCGATGTTGCTTTGGCCAGGGATTGAACCCAGGCCCTGCGGAGTGTAAGCGCGCACTGCTTACCACTACACTACAGCGGCCGCCGGAAGAGTTTTTAAGTCTATTTATTTTGATTGTTTTTGTTTATCGGCCTTTAAATTGTAAACTGATGTAATTTTTATTTTATAAGCTCGAGGCACAGAGAATACATAAAACACAGGTTTTAGTTCTTTGTTTCTTAGTATCGATATTTCGACCTCAATCTGAGGTCATCTTCAGGAACTTTTAGTTGTCGGTCGACCGGGAACAACTAAGAGTTCCTGAAGATGACCTCAGATTGAGGTCGAAATCTATATATTAATACGCTAACATAAATTTTGTCTCCGTTCGTTTGGCGATTCTACCGAACCGATTTCAAAACCAAGAACACCGTTGGAAAGGCATTTTTCCGTAGATGAGCAGAGTTTTTATGGTTTCACAATTGGTTGAAAATTACGGCCAAAACCGTCGTTTGAACATTTTAGAATTGTGTATACATGTTGCTGCAACATGTTCAATTTGATATGTTTCGCCTGTTGTTTCACTACACATTTGAAATTAAGCTCTGAAATAAAGATAAATATGAAGATGAAGAAATAAATGATAACGATGAAGTCAAAAAAAAGAAGGCAAAAGTGAAGATAAAGACGAAAATGAAGACAATGACAGATACATAAGAATTAGGGTAACTAAAAGGGTAAGAACATTTCTTGAATTTATGAAGTGAAACTTCTTTAGCGGCAATTGGTTGGTTGGGAGTAAATTGTCAAATTCAAGGGGAATAATGCACATGGAAATAGTTCTCAGCGGTTTAGCGGTTTGAGAATAAAAACAAAAACAAAGATGCCTAGAGGTACAGGCAAAAACGAAGATCAAAGTAAATTTAAACACTTTAAGGTAAAGGTGAAGAGGAATATGCAAAAATAAAGATAAAGGATGAGGATGAAGATCGATATTGTTATCGATATACAACTCGATATTTTTATCGATATAATAATCGATATTGCTATCGATAAAATAATCGATATTGTTATCGATATTGTTATTGATTAAATAACCGCTATTTCAATCGATATAATAATCAATATAATAATCGATATTGTTATCGATACAATAATGGATATTGTTATCGGCATAATAATCGATTAAATAATTGATTTTGTTATCGATTTAGTCACTTATATTGTTAACGATATGTACAACAATCGATACTGAAGATTGTTGTATTTATCGATGAATTAATCGATTTTACAATCGTTGTATTTTTATATCTTTATGGATATTGTTATCGGTATTTTTATCGACACAGTTATCAACAGGGTTATCGATATACTAGTCGGAACATGGAATGTGATCACATTACATGGCAACACATCACACGATATTACATCACATAATATGATATCACCAAGCCAGCTAAGATACGCACCCGCCTCTGTGCAGCAAAAAATGTGCGCCCAAATATGCAAGGAAAGCTTAACGTCGAAAAGCTGCAATCACAACAGACAGCCAGCGCTTTCGCTACTCGACTCTCACACCCGCCCTCAGAGAGCACTCTTCAACAAACCGACATATGCGAGCAGTGGAACCACATTTCCCGCTCATTAAGTACCGCCGCCGAAGCAGTAGTCGGATTTCAGCGAGCCCGAAAGAACAACTGGTACGATGAGGAGTGTCAAGAAGCTGCAGAGAAAAAAGATGCCGCCTACAGGGCCACGCTGCGATCGGGCGCAACGCGCGCTATGTGGGACCGCTATAGGGATCTGAAGAGGGAAGCGAGACGTATTTGCCGCAACAAGAAGAGAGAGGCAGAAATACGTGAGTGCGAAGAGCTTGAAATGCTGGCCGACAGGAGGAATGCCCGAAAATTTTACCAGAGAGTTAGGTGACTTACGGAAGGTTTAAAGACCGGGGCGCACTCCTGTAAGAACAATAATGGCGACCTAGCAACTGATGTCCAGAGCGTACTTAAATTATGGAGGGAACACTTTTCCGCCCTACTAAATGGTAGCAGCACGGAAAGTTGTGGAGAAGAAGAACCCGAGCCCGCAGTCGATGATGACGGAGTCGACGTTCCACCGCCTGACTATGACGAGGTACGTATAGCAATAACGCGGCTGAAAAACAACAAAGCCGCTGGAGCTGACAGCCTGCCAGCTGAGCTATTCAAGTACGGCGGCGAGGAGTTGATAAGGTGCATGCATCAACTCTTGTGCAGAATATGGTCAGATGAACGTATGCCCGACGACTGGAATTTAAGTGTGCTCTGCCCAATCCACAAGAAAGGTGACCCCGCCATTCGCGCCAACTACCGCGGGATCAGCCTTCTAAGCATAGGTTACAAGGTCTTATCGAGCGTATTGTGTGAAAGACGGAAGCCCACCGTCAATGAACTGATTGGGCCTTATCAGTGTGGCTTTAGACCTGGAAAATCCACCATAGACCAGGTATTCACAATACGCCAAATCTTGGAAAAGACCCGCGAGAAAAGGTTCGACACTCACCACCTATTTGTCGACTTTAAAGCCGCTTTTTACAGCACTAAAAGGAGTTGCCTATACGCCGCTATGTCTGAATTTGGCATCCCCTCAAAACTTATACGGCTGTGTAAAATGACGTTGAGCAATACCACCAGCTCCGTCAGAATTGGAAAAGACCTCTCCGAGCCGTTCGCCACAAAACGGGGTTTCAGACAGGGCGACTCCCTTTCATGTGACTTCTTTAATCTGATGTTGGAGAAGATAATAAGAGCTGCAGAACTGAACCGCTCAGGAACAA